GTTTCGTTTGGCATCCCTTGAAGAAATAAGTATTTATTACAGTGTTAATTTAAGGTAATTTTGACAACATTTAGACAAGATTAACAAAGCATTAAAACATGTATTTTCAAGGACGCTTAACAAGGAACTTCGTTACATCACATGGATGTATAAGTTTAATAATACCTGCATTAAAGGGGCATCACGGTGAAGTAACTTTTTTTGTGTGTCTTATTTTCAAATACTACTTAAACATATCAAGTGAGACTCCTTATGGAAAATAACAATCGGATTTGGCTAAAAAATAGATTCATAAAAATGATTAAATCTAAGATAATCATCGATATTTCCACCTGTCTGACCAACGTTTTGTTCAGGGATTTCCGTCTACTAGCGCATGCGCATAGCACACCATTTCTTTGTAAACAAAATGACTGGCCGTGTGAAGGAAGCGAAAGAAAAGTGTTGTACCGTGTCAGCTACGAAGCGAAAAGTTGCCAAATGGTCAAAAGATAGCGCAAGGGGTACGTTACGGAATCATTATTGCCAGTGGAAAGTATTCAAAGCAGAAAATAACTGCCCTAGCAGTAAGTACGGTGCATGTATTCTTCCGGATTATCGGTTAAGCTGAAATGAAATCGACAGAAATGCTAGCGCTGTTTATGTTATGAATAAATATCTAAAACTATTAACCTCGCTAGTAGTAGTATAATTGTGTGAGTTTGAACACAGATGAACTTAGTTAATATGTTAATGGGCATGTATCGGAGAGAGTTTACTTTGTGTTTCTATAAGTATGCAGTGGTTTATGCGAAAGGAAGGGATAAGTGACTGGTAAGTTTGATTTTGCCATGAGGCCCTCCAAGGGATAACTGTTGTGATGGCCGCGGCGTATTCTGTTCTGTCCTCTGTCGGTATTCGGGGTCAAATGAGATACGTGCGCTATTAGATTTAAATAATTTATAATATTACCGGGATCAGTAAAATGGTATGATTTAATTATATTGCTGAATTAAACAATTTTTTTTAATTTTGACATGCAAGATTTAAATTAGTACTAATATGAATACCCGGCCGCGACGAAGCAATATATATAAAAAATCGCTCTTCGTCAGAAAGCTACGTTATCGCAGCTAGATTAAAAATGTCAAAATGACGGACCAGGATGAATACACTGAGGAAATAGAACCTACTTCTAGAAAATAGGATCGCATTTTATTTTTTTAAATCGTAATTTTTCAACAGTTCATGTTTTCATATGATGTTGACTTAGAATTATGATCATGTAACAACCTTTTCTCTATAAAGAATTAATTTTCGACTTTAGGTAGAATCGGAATACGTATTGAAAACAGGTGGAAAAACATTTTATTATGTTGTAAAAATGGCGCATGCTGCCGGACAAAAGGAACTGAATAAAGAAAAGTTGTCTCAACATAAAAAAAGTCCATTTACAAGTATGCTTTAATCTTTGTAAAGTATTGAAAAAATATCATTATCAAGTATCTCAACACTTTCCATATCTGACACATATATTGTACATGTACACATAGTGGTTTTGCCATACAGTTTATTGTTTGTGATGGCTAATATGACTTACTAAGTGTTAGCGTATGGAGACAGTGAAAGTGGGAAGGAGAGTATACATACATGTGTATGCATGGTCTAGAAAACAAAATTGGCCAAAGACATTGAGTTGTACAATGTAATAAATAAATTCACAAACGTTTCTCTTTTTTATACGCGTGTAGTTTGGCATTGCATATATGCACTTTATGTAAATATTTGAAAAGGGATATTCGTCTCGTCAATATTCCTTTTTACAGAAAAAGTTTGTCCCATGGTTGAGGGAAGGTGTTAAGCCCCGTACCATCTGTACCGGTCACATTCCGGTACTAAATTCAATATAAATATATATATATATACTTTATGTCTATGCTTATTATCATTGTTGACATTTAATTGTAAATGTATGACGGGAGAAGACTGTGATAAATTGTAAAAAACTTGTGCCCCATCCCTTTTTCAATTTTATTGGCAGCAACTATATGTTTAAAGCTACATAAATTTAAATTCTAAATATTGCCAAGTGTGCAATTAACTTCTGATGATGAATAATTATTGTTCAATAAGTTTGAATACGGACTTAGAAATCATATTACTTGGTTTCATAGTGCGGTAAGAAGTTGCAGTTGCCTGACGGCCCCTCCCTGGGGGCCCCTTTGGAAACCGTTTCATCTCGCTCACACCAATTGTGTTTACTGCCTAGTCAGGTGACGTTATCGGCACTATTTTTAGCAGGGCTTTCCTGAACAATTCAAGTGGTCAAACTGGACATTTGGAACGGACTATGAATATGGGGATAGCGAGGTAACATAAGTGGAAGTTCATAGTATTGTATGAACTTCCACATTCATTCATTAAAAAAAATATGGCTCTTCACGTGATGTCCCTTTAACAACTGATGATATTTCATTTAATATCAATTACAGTTGTGTGACTGCACAACGCACCTCAAATAGCGTACGTACACTGTCCGCACATAGTTCGTACTAATGTGCGATTTAATTGTCGTTCGCCCCGTTGTACACTCCTCTCCGCAGGATTGAGCACAATAATACGGAATGAAAAAATCCGGAAGACTCGTATGAAATAAGGGACACTTTATATATTTTACTTCTGATCACTATAATTTACACGATGTCTAATTTTACAAAGTGTGACACAAACCTCAGTGACCGTTAAGCTCTCAAGAATCAGACCTTGCTCTCAAGTAACAAAAATGGTAAATAACATTTGGATAAGTGACTGATACAGAAAGTTTATCCCTGATACCGTATGACTGTTTTAAAACACACTGGACGTCAGGTATTTGTTAATTGCATTCGTGTCGGTCTATAACCCCCTTCACAAAGATGTTCAGAGGTACGTAATTGCCCGGGATGAGGAACGATACGGTCTAGGTACATGTATAGGACGTGTAATTATACACGTGTCGATTTGGGTAGCGAAAAAAACACCAAATACAAAATTTCAAGATGGCAGAAGTTATCGATAGAGACCTCAGCTTATAGATTCAGTTAAAATATAATAACCTACTTTAAATCAGGAACCTGTGTTTAAAACCAAATCGTGGATATTATTAAGATATCCCTCAATTTACACCAACCACGATCGTTATTGCACAACGTTCGTCCATCGTGCGCACAGATGTTCGCAAGATATATTCGTCCAGTGTTAAACGTTCGCACATCGTGTGCACATCGATCCCACAACTGTAATTCATTTCCCAGTAAAAAATGGATACCTACCTTGACGTCGGATTGTTTTTATTTCTGATTCCGCCTCTTTAATAATGCCAGATGCACACTTATTGACTCCTTTAACAGCTTTATATAATGGTTTATATTGACCAATTTGAATTCTATTAGCATCCAAGAGCTTTTGCACGTATAAGTGAAGGTTGTCCTTTTGAAGAACTACTGGAGGTAAACGTCCCTTTAATAATTGTTTGAAATTCTCCCAACAATCTGATGCTGGATAAATTACTCCTGACAATTTATTCACCATCATTGAATGACAATCAGTTGCACGTTCTTCTAATGTATAAGGATTGTCTTCGTTTAAGATAAGTGCATCAGGAACTGAAAGAAACAATTTATAAACATTGTTATACATTAAATCAGATAAAAACCGAACTACATCTGATTCAGTGTTCTAAAAGCAGCTTTCATAGAAAAATTTAATAACGATACTTTATAAAAAAATATATATATTTGAACAGTCAACTAAAACCAATATATATATATATAAAGTTATAGTATTTTATAATACCTGGATCAAGCATAGATCTGGGTTCCTCTTGGTATAAAATAGAATGCGTGAGTATATTGCTTTAGTCTACAGAACCATGTATGACTGGTAGGCTAGTTTTTTATCTTCTCTCTTTTGTTTTATCTTTCAGGCGAAGAACGGTGACTGTTGGATAGCAGGATCTTGTTTAATATGCTCAGTTTGAGTAGAACGGAGCTAGGTCATGTCTTGGGTATTAATAGTGATAAAGTGTTTTATCACTTTATGTATTTACGTGTAACTACGTTCGCTTATCACATATCTATAAATATTAATACATTTTATATTTGTCCTCTCTTCTCTGTAAAATGCTACCAAGGAACTAAAGGAGAACCGCAAGAACTCCATCGAACCTTGGCTGCTTATGTGTGACTGTGGAAACGACAATACCTATATTTAATAAAGACCCACTTTTCCCTACTTTAAACATTTTAGTAACACGAGGAGCATTTTTATGGCATGTTTATTTGTCAACCCATACAATGTTGTCAGTATGAAATAAAAAATCATATATCATACTCTCCCGTAAGCTGACGTCTATCGAATGTAGCTTATAAAAGTATTTTGACACCCTTATCTGCGTTTACAATAACAAATAATTAACTCACTTGTTTCGGTATTTGCACTTTTACTATTAATTGTCAAGTGCACTGAATTGCTTCCTGGTCCAGCAAGATTTTCTGCTTCACAAATGTATTTGCCTTCGTCATGCATTTTTTCCGTTTCATCTATTACCAGAGAAGGAGATTCTAGCAAACCACCGTAGTATTTATCATTGTCAGTTGCAATTTTACGTTTACATCCTTCTTCTTCTATTGTCCAAGTGATATCGGATGCTGGTGGTTCCGCAATGACATTGCATTTTAAAATAGCAACGTCTCCTTCAGTTTTATAGTGTTTTTTTGGCTTCATATTCAGCGTTGGAGGACCTAAGGTTAATTTTAAACCAATACATATAACATTAATACATTTATCATGACACAAAACAAAGCGTCAGTAACATTATTTTTTTTGTTTCGGAACTTATATTGATAGTAGAAAGCTGTTTCTATTTTCTGGTTCTACTTCATAAGTACTTTGTGTATGAGAATAACAGAGACAATTTGGGAAATCATTCGGGAAAAATATTTGCAATATTTCTCACTTTAATGCTCTTTTGTCGTGACAAAGATGAAATGTCAAATTTAACTTTTTACCTCCTTTTACTTTCAGCTTAGTAGGTGCACTCTGCCGTTTCCCACACAAGTTTGAGACGGTACAAACATAGTCGCCTTCGTCATCTTTCTTGATGTCGTTGATTGATAAGTGTGGGTCATTCGGTTTTGATCCTGTATATTTTATCTCGTCAATATCCAGTGCTACAGGTTGTTCCTCAGGTGAAATACGTTGCCAGGAAACTGTTGTAATCCACGGAATTGCAGATATAGTACACTCCAGCTTCACTTGTTCTCCTAATACGGCAGTATAGTTTCTTTCATGTATTCTGACAGTAGGGAAATCTGAAAATTCACATTTGAAGTATAGCTAGAACACTGACAGGTCAGTAAGGGCCCCGTCTTGTGGCAATATATCCTCCATAATCATTAAGAAGCAACCTGCCCATATAGCTAAGCTTGACGTTTGACATTTGGACTTGCAGCCACAGACATTCAGAAGGGCTAGTGTTTGAACTGGATAATTAAATATGGTTTTAATGGTGTTAATGGTCTTATTTTTTCAGAGCTAGATAAGTATTTTTAGTTAAACATGCTTGTCTTAGTTTCATAATATGAAGCCGAGACAGGTTATATGAGGCAATTTCACCTGCCTAAATACTGCAGACAGACAAGCATCCCCAGTTATATGAAATATACAGCGGTAATTTAAATTTGTGTGTTCAGGTGATAGCTTATTATTCTGTTCGGGAATTTTCGAGAAAAAAACC